TCCGTCCAAGAGATAACAGACTCGGTGGACGAAGTTTGACGAGGGCTTTGCATGATCAGCGGGCTCGGCCTCGCCCGGAAGTCAATCGATTCGAATTCGCAGCTCCTGGAAAACAGCAGCATGAGAAATGGGCCGATTCTCGAGACCCAACATCCACCTGCTTCCCCACACAATCTGCGGTCGTTCGCTGTGTTTTTTAATATTTTCTCCGCCTCTTCTGGCTCCTCCATTCCCACCCCAGCTGTTAAAAAGCAACAAAATATTATCTTCGCCCATGATTGGACGTATAAACTCCCAAGTCTTCTATGCAATTGTGCCCTTGTGTCAGCCCTGCTTTACACTTTACAAGGCACTCTCCAGTGATGCTTAAGACAATGCTCATTATTATTTGGAATGTCATGCCGGTTAGGTCAGTTGCTTAATTAAGAAAAAGTGGGGATTGCAGTAGAATCAGCGTATAATCGAGATCTACTCCCACCTTGGCGATTAGCGAGAAGTCTGATATTTGTATAATTGGTGTTATGGACCGAGTCGTACCTGCATTGGGGGCTTTGTTTGTGGCGAGTGTGTCTGTACTCGACACAATCTCAGGGAAAACATACCCGCTTCAGGTGAACATGAGTAATTATTATAAACAACGGTCGGTCTGTTGTTGACAAACTTGGATGCATAATCACACAAACGAAATGGATGGGTGGTATGATTTGCTAAATGATGTGAGTAGTAGTTAAATGAGGATGAGGAGGACCAAGTACGAAAGAGGAATTCCGGTGCAATCTCTTCAGAATCCAGCACGTGCCGCAACCTCCTTAACAACAACACTTGCACTAAGCAAAATGTTTGACAGATGAACGCCCAACTGCTCGCTCCGGTATTTCTCATTACTTCCAGCGGTGTACAGTGCACTGGAACTTGCTGCTGGGACCATGCACAATCGCAAGAAAGGCGCCAGCAGAACTTGATCGAGAAAGCTGAAGAGAATTTTCAGCCCTTTCCATGACAACAAGAAACGTGATTTCGTTTGCTATTTCTCGAGGAAAATGAAAGATGCGGTGCTCTTTTCATTTTGATCGGATGGGCTTAAGAGGAGAAGGAAGCTCCATGATTCATAGAGAAGAAAGAATTTTAAAAGCTCAATGATTGTGGTGCTGATTATGTTAGCTCAGACGTCCATTGAAAGCCATTAGGCATGCTATTTTTTGGGGCTGCAGTGATTATGGATCATGGAAGAACATCCAACATATGTGACAAGGAAAAAGGGCGATCACGAAAGAAAGCGTGATGGGACCTCTAGGCTGGCCTATATAAGTCTTTGCTTTTGAAAAGTTTTCCCTCACATATCCTCCTCGATACAAGCATCTTGTTTATCATGGCAACGAGAAAAACCTGAGAGTACTTTTCCGAAATTTCTATTGGTGTAACATGGGGGCTTCACTCTACGTGGATATAGTCCAATCGTCACAATCATCGAATTGCTTGAGAATACGTCTTTCAACTTGTGCAACTTCAAATGAAATATCAAATTATACATTACGAACGGAATGATCTTGTAGACTCACAAGCACTTCAGGTTAGGTTCCGAAGACCTTTCTGGCGAAATGTGATCCGGAGGAATCATAATGGTGTCTTCCAGATCTATAAAGTGGCAGTGGATCATCTCTCTCCAATTTGAATCCAGAAGTTTTCGTGTCGTCAATAGTCTGATTCAATGAGCATATATGTATAAAATAAATATATAATTTTATCTTTGATAAACGAGATGAGAACTATTGAGGTGGGCTTTACCGGAACCGAAATGAATGAGTATAGAACGCATCACTCATTTATTTACAACACTAGCCGATTCAAAAGGTCAGAGGAATTCCAGTTCGATGATTGGGATGAAAGCTGTCAAGAAAGTACCAACCAACAACACTCGGCTACACACAAATCTTGACCATTCGTCGATATGCAACATAGTCTCTCTGTCTCTCTATCTGTCCAGATATTTGATGAGCTTTGAGGACATGCTGTATCTAAGAAACATTTGACTCGTGATCTCGTCCAATGCACCTCAAGGATGCAATAGGGGAACTATTGTATCAAACTGTAGAGGAAGTCATAAATGGAAGTTTGTAGGAGGGTTGAATCATAGGAACGAGGGAGAGGAAGGGGGATGCGAAAAGCCTCGGGCTGGTGAGGGGAGTCAAATCAGGAGCAATGAACTGCTCATGTACGAGAGAGGTCGCCTTGGATTCAGAGGAATAAATGAAACACGTGTCGGCACCTCATTCCACTCGGAATGTAATCAACGAAGTCATTTTGTTTTCAAGGTTTTTCCAGTTCGGTGTCGACATGAGGTGTCCGTGTGACAGATTTTTTTCCCTCTCCTCATGTTCGAATATTCATGTTCTCCAAATTATATGTGAATACTTTCATAAAGGATACCTACTTACAAAATTCGCTGAATATTTTAAGCCATTTTGAATAAGGATAGTGCTTGCAAATCCACCATGCCGTATTTCTATAGTATTCTTCAAGGCGCCAGATGTCAAGTCAAAAGGTCTTCATAGATTTGCTCAGCAAAACTGTTGTTGTGGGGAATATTGCAATGGATAATGATTTTAATGATCTCATAATTCAGAGTCTCAGTTGGAGTCTACTCGATCCTCCACTGAAGAGTGACTAGAAGGTGTTCTCTGTCAACCTCATAATAAATATCCTTCCTCGATATATATTGTTTTAAAAGCATCAGTACTAACATCAGCCAGCCAATATTCACATAAAAAAAGAAAAATTTTTCTAGGAATTGTAGAACACACAATATGTTTCCATAGATCATACCCATGTCTCCTCAATACTTTCCTTGTATTTCGTCAAGCAGCATGATCAAAACTATACAAATTGATCAAAACGAAGGAAAATAGGCTCAAGTCATCAGCAAGAGAGACTTGTGTACCAAGAAGAATGTCCGTGCCATATTTGTTACTCAAGTCACAGCCAGAAGGAATTGAAAACCCGACCGAAAGTCAATGTACAAGCCAGAGGTACTTGTTTGGCAAGGTAATGTCTCAACGGTATTTTGATGAATATTACGATGTGAGCAAGTAATAGAATTGCTTTTGGCTCGATTGAGAAGCGTCCTGCTAGGTGTAGTAGTAGTGCCTTTCGTGAGAGGGAGAGAGCGTAACGATGTAAGCGAGGAAAATTAGCGAGCAATATGGTGCCCATATTGATATACATTATGTGTGTACTCCAGAGTTATCATAACAGAATCGGGGGCTCGCTTTGGCCTCTGCTTCATTCACCCTGGTCTGGGAACTTGATTAGCACGGCCTTGGAGAGCATGGGAAAGGAAATAATAGCAGCAAAACGGAAAACTACACATGTCAGTTCTCAAAGCCACCCCAAGAATGCAGGCTGAATAGATAAAGATAGAAAACAATAAAATATTAAGAGTGAAAGGACTAGAAACGTGGGTAAAAAATCAAACAAAGATGCTCTCTGTTTGTTTTCTCAATCTCGTACCCAAAAAGGAAATCGATTTACGTGTGAAGTGGAATTCTTCTTGTCTGAACGACTGACTGGACGAAGGAAGGGAGGAAGGAAGAACTGGGAAGGGGAAAGGAAAAAGGAAAGGAGAGCCAAGAGCATGTCGCGGAGATGGTGGAGGGAGAGAAAGAAACGGAGCGGGAGGAGCAGCGTACCTGGATCCTATGATACATCGAAATACCAGCAAGCAAGGAGGCACGGTCCATGTAGGAACCAGTAAGAAAGATAGATCAGATGATCTGATAGAGAGGATGGGATGGGATGTGAGGGAAGGGGAGGGGTACTGGTAGTTGTCTAGGGGCCGTAGCAGCTGAGCTGGTGTCGTCGTTCCTAGGCTCATCAAGAAGCGGCAGCAGAAAGAAGGAAAGATTACGACTGGGGCTAGGATATGGGCGAAGACCTGCCAGCGAGCAGCAGCAGCAGAAGGATCAGCAGTCACAGAGCCAGCAGCGGCAGCAGAACAGGGGCCGGGAGGGTGCAGCCCTAGCAGAAACTGTCAGAGGCCGTAGTGGAAGTATCAGCAGTAGTCAGGAAGTCGTTACTCGTTGGTTAGCAAGAGGAGCGAAATTAGCCGGAGGAGAAGCAGTTGGAGGAGGGGACTCAGGGGAGTTGGACCGGAGCAGAATGATAAATATCCATGAGCAATCACGGCGATATACACCCTAACTACCATGTGAGTAGTAGGATGTAGAGAAATCATGTTGGCGGTGACTGAAAGAAATCACTAGAAGCAGGATCAGATTATACTACTGTTGGTGCAGCTGAAATGAGTACACTGCAGGCACAGATGGGTATACCCAAGGCACGTCCAGTCCAATGGGCGCCATCGCGAACCCCTCCCTCCCTCCCCCAGCCTCAGCCTCAGCTCCACCATGTTGTAGCTGGCGGAAAAGGCATGCGAGTGTGGTGAGAGCTACGCTACACTGACGTTGAATTCTCCTGTTCTCCAGACACTAATGGCGATAGCGGTGGACCTTGGACTTGTAATGAGTGAGGCGAGACCTGTCGTTGGTCGCATCATATGTTGCCGGCAGATGCATATTAACAACAATCAGCTGCTGTCTACGTAGAACATACACCCTCCCCGGCTGCGAGAGCGAACAACAGGCAGACATGAAGAAAAGATGGCGGCACTTTCTGGAGGGAGGCAGCAGGCAGGCACGCAGTAGTTTCTACTGTAGAGAGACATGTGGCTCGCATAATATGTTGCCGGCAGATGGTCATTGGCGGCCAGGGAAGGAGGTATGGAAGAAAGCTGGCAGCGAAATTAGCAGATAGAGGAAGTCGGAGAAACTAGAGAGGGTCGCAGCAGAGACTGCACCAGTGGCATTGCTAGCCGTCGTAGCTGTAGGCCGCAACGGACGAAAGGAATGAAGTGGAAGGTGGGTGGTGATATAGGGGGCCGTGGAAGGGAAGGTAAGGGAAGGGAAAGGGAGAGAAGGAAAGTTGGGCAGATGGGTAGAATGATGACAAAGGCATGCAGTAAGAGGATGAGCAGCAAGCAGCTCTGTGCACAGATCGGCTACTAGGTGGGATTGATTATGACTTGAATTGCGGAGGGGAGGAAGTGGACAATCAGTTATCTTTCCACAGAAATCTGCGCCGACGTGGGAGAAAACAGGGAGCGGGGAGAGTTAGTTAGGAACCAGAGAGAGAAAGAGAAGGTAGGAAAGAGAAAGGGAGTGAGAGGAGAGAGGGAGGAAACTGAACTCGCCAAGCGAAGGAAAAGCACGGCCAGACAGACATGCTCAGGCCTGCTCAGAGCTCTGCAGTCTAGTCCAGTCCAGTTCAGTCCACGTTTCCGGGGAAGTGAAATGATCTCTTCTCTATTAGCAGCAACACTTGCTGCTGCCGCTTTCTGGGCATTCTCAGCTCCGCCCTTACCTCTCCCTCCCCTCTCCTCTGCCTTCATCGATGTTAGGTTCTCATGATCTCATACTTTAACCCAGGACCATTCCTCTTCGTTGTCTAAGCAACACCTTTCCTCTACCCCTGCTCGTTGCAGAGCACAGCAGAGCAGCATCAGTTCAGTTCAGTTCAGTTCAGTCCAGTCCTGTTCAGCATACCAGAGCTGCAAGAGAATACTGGTCAGTCATCTCGGTACGAGCTTCAGTCCAGAGAGTGACACACACAGCCAGCCACGGGGACGAACACCGAGTGATTTGAGGGAGAGCGAGAGCGAAGAACTAGTTCGCAGTGAACGATGGTTGGGACTCTGTTCATGCGCTCCGGCTGAACAAGATCGAGCTCGCTCGCTCGCTCGGAGTGCAGAGGGTGCACATCTCTGACCTCGAAGAGTAGCCAACGAGTGACAACAAGTGACGGAGTGAGCTGTAAGGAGGTCGAGGAGAAAGAGGACTGGACTGGGTATGGTGCAAATCTAGAGCAGCAGCAATCTGGGAGGACGGGGTTGAAAATCGCAGCTCGGGGAGCAGCATGGGACATGCAGTGTGCTGCCCCATTCGGGCTTGTTGCGTCGTGGACGGTGAGCTGAATGAGGAGGTAGAAGGGGCAGGTTGAGTTGCGCCTCGACTCCCTGGAGTCTGTCGAGAGGAGGGGGGAGGTACGGGGAGGGGACGAGGCGACTAATGCAGGAGAGCGTGTCAGGAGAAGCTGGTGCTGGTGGAGGAGGAGGAGGAGGAGGAGGTTGTGGTGGTGCCTCCGGTGGGGGCAGTGAGGACGGGAAAGATCGCAAAGATAAAGAGAGAGAAATGGCCAAGCTCAGTGCGAGCGAGAAGGAAAAAACCAAGCTGCGCGAGCGGCAAAGGCGAGCTATCACCACGAAAATCTTCGCGGGTTTGAGAAAGCACGGAGGCTACAATCTGCCTCCCCGTGCCGACATTAACGACGTCTTGAAGGCCTTGGCTCAGGAGGCGGGGTGGACCGTGGAGGCCGATGGCACGACCTATCGCACCCAGGTACGAGAACTCTCCGCACCCTCAGCCCGTCTCTTTCTCCCACCCACCAGGTTCCCACATTTGATCTGTTCCCTCTCAGATTTGTGCCACAATGTGGCTCCGTGAGTCCTGGACCTGGCTTCAATCCCATTTCTCAGGGTGGTGGACCCCGTGCAGGATCCCACGCCTTCTTCTTCCCGCCCTCGCTCGCCACCTGTTAACTGTGCCAGCAGCAGCTGGATTCGCATGCACCTCAAACCCTCTCACAAACTTATGACTTGCGCAATCGCGCGCTGCGTCGATCTCAGGTTGCTATGCAGCTCCAGCACCTTCGCCTGCACGTCAATCCCGAGCCATACGACAGCGCCCGTAATCGTCGTGTGGCCCTGGTGTTTGGCCTCCGGACGGGCTTTCGGGATGATTCAGGAGCTCTCTTCTCGTTTTGTGAAATTTCCATCGTGTCGGTGAATCTTGGTCTGCACTGGCGGTGCTGTCCAAACCAGCGCTCTTCTGAAGCACTCGGTGGTTGTCTCTTTTCGTCGCGAAAAGAACCGATCTGATGCATGACCGTGATGCCCAGCATCAGCCATATCTACCGCGCAGCCTCGTTCCACAATCTCAGCGACGCAGAGCAGGCAGCCATGGAGAATCTTCGTGGGAGGCGATGAAGCGGGGCTTCAGTCTTGGCACGCGAGGGTTGCAGTGTCATCCACGGCCTTCTGAGCGCTTTCCTCGAAGCCATCGCAAGCCCGTCAGCCAAGGCCGTTCGCAGCGCCTCGGTCGATCTGGAAGCGTAACCGCGAAGCCAAGCTCGCCGAACGTTGATTGGAGCGTCCTTCGAGCGGCTTGGGCGAGCCCGATTGATGATTTGAAAGGCGCCACTCGGCGCACAAGGCTTTTGAATGTGCATGAATTATCGTGCACTTTGCTCAGCAGTTCCCTCTGACTGGAAACGAGCTTCTTTCTCGTTCAGTGTCTTCCAATTTTGCCTGCAATCCTCGTTTCATGTCACTTCGTTTCCTTCGGTGGACGGAAGACGAAAGGATTCGATGGTGAATCCTTAGCCTGTCTGATGGCGTAGAAAACAATCTCTGCTGAATCTTCTCGTAGACGGCTGTGTGTGTTGAGGAAGTTACAGTCGAAATTTTTGAAGCGGGAATTTTCTTGGGTCTGATTTTCTCAGTGAGCAGTCCACGCCACCGCCTTGCATTCAGCGAGCAAGACGAGGCTGGCTAAGTGTCAATCAATTCTTCTCAATGCTTGGTTGATCAGCTGAATACATCTGTCAGTGTAGTTCCTTGAGCTGACGACTTCTCATGATGCTTGGAGCCTGTTCTTTAGTAGCAGTTATTTCGTCTACGTAGAGGTGCCCTCCATCAAGAATGAGTTCTCCAATGTTCTCTTCGTTGCACCCGTACATTCGAGTTACTTTGTTTCGTGTATTTTGGTGAGGAGTTTCCTTGATGAAGCTTGGAAATCTCTCACGGAGCCCGATTGCAATGCACGTCTTTGGGCATCGAGAAGCGAAGTTCACCTGAACGAAGAACTGTGATTTCAGCTTCCTGATGCAAGCTGAGAGTGTAGAAGCATCATACCTCAAGGCGCTGAACTGCAAAGAAAGAATTTGCAAATATGTCGTGAGTACTATCTGTTTTGAGAATAGAACTTATACGACCTCGGTGGAAAAACAATAGAACGCCGTGTTGGAAGAACCAACCTCTCTACGAGTGCTTTGGGGGCTTTCTGGGTTCTATTCAACGAACCCCACAGCGCCAAACCTTATTCAGCAGACTCGTACGTCTGCTGATCACCAGTGAGAACACTGTCCTGAGTTCGCGAAGGAGTTTTTGTGTCCAATGCTCGGTCGCAGTCAACGAAGAAAGACGTCCGAGGTCGTCAGGACTCGGCTGACTGCATTGATCACGGAATGAATGTCTGCCTGCTTGCGTGCGATCGTCGTCTGAGGACGCATTAAGTAAAAGTCGGTTGCAGAGAGGAGGGGAATGATACGATCTCGTGTCGTAAAAGCGAATCTGTAAGTTGGAGTTCTGAAAGTTTTCTGATTAGACGTGGTGGTGTTGTGCTGTTGGGGGAAACAGGGAGCTCTGCAGCAACCGAGCAGCAGTCATGGGGGTCACCACTCACTTCGGCAGCAGAGCCTGTCGTCGCAGGGTCGGGTGGCCATGCTGCCGGGCAACACGAGCATGCCGGCGAGCTTCAGCTGCAGCCTCACGGGGCTGACGGGCCTGACGGGGCTGCTGCCACCGGATGGCAACGAGTTAAGAGAGGGCAACTGCTCGACCACGGCATCGCCCCGGCGTGTGGGAGGTGGTGGCGGCGGGCAGCAATCCAACAGCTCATCGATGACGACTCTCATGCATCCGAATTCCGCTTGCCTCTCGTCGCCATTCGCGTCCCCGGCCTCGAGCGAGGGCGCCCCCAGCGTGCGCCTCAACAATCCGTTCATGGGGGGCGGCATGCCGGGCGGCTTCCTCTCGTGCGGGCCTGTCCCGTCGGACGGAGGCGGAGGAGGGCGCGATCGCGACTCGGGCGCTCTGAAGGACGAATCGGCCGCTTACTTCAGCGCCGACACTCTCGAGGCCCGCGAGTACGCGGCCAGGAACGGGGCTATGGCGAATCACATGAACAACATGCTGTTCGGGGGCGGGCATTCGCCGCAACAAGCTTTGCAGAATAGCCATCGATTCGGCAACCCGCGGCTCACCATGCCCTCACTCGCCATGCTCTCGTCCTACGCCCAGGAACATCGGGCTTCCAACAACAATACTCCACTCGGCTCTCCTCAGCGTCATGGTGGGCCTGGCTAGCAGGGGATTGAATGCGTTCGGAGCTGTCATTCTGGGGACGGACGAAGGAAGGGGAGGGAGGTCGGGTCAAAGGGAAAGTGAGGCCATCATGTAGTAGACAGGAAGGACACGACACGAGTACCAGATAGAGTAATGTTTCAGAACGGGGGGGGAGAGGGAGGGAGGGAGGGAGGGAGGTAGGAAGGGGGAGATGTGTTTCAGAGGGGGAGAAGTTTCATAGAGTTTCGTATGAATGGGCCATGGCAGTGGGTGGAATTCGACTTTGGTCGTTCAGTCCCTATCAGGGTCGGTGTGTGGGGTAGAGCATTCAGTTCTCGATGTCCAGCAGCAGGGAGATGTTGGTGGATGGGATGAGGAAGGAAGGGAAGTGGTTCGGAGCCGAGCCGAGCATTTGTTGAGATGACATTGATCGGATGAGATGAGCTGAATGAGTGGGGCCTCGCCAGCACAGCAGCAGCAGCAGCATTCCATCGTCAATTACTACTCTACTACCACTACTCCTGCACGAGTTGTAGATGTCTGACTGACTATGTCTCCACCGCAATCGCTCACCTGCTCGAGAGGCCGTGACGACCAGATTATCTTGCTGGATGATGACCAAATCTCCGCTTAAAAGACTAAGAAACCTCAAGGCAGAAGAGTTGATTTGTGCCTGCAATGCAAACGCGAGTATATGCGTTTCTGGGTCGAAATGTTGAGAGCGACTTTTTTTTGTTCTCTCACCTGTGGCTGCTGCCAATGCTGCTGCTGCTAGTCATTCGATAACTCATTTTTGTTAATGGGACGTTCGGTAGAAGACATCTCATTTTGTGGAGTCGGAAAGTAATCCTTACTTACAGACTGGAAGCATTCCATGTAAGCACGCACTCGAAGCTTATACAAATTTGTCAGATTTAATGATAAATCACCTTGACGAATTTGACGCCACTGCATCATCATCATTACCACCTCTCATGTCCACACCTTATGTCTCGTTTTCTATCTCAAGATTCCATTGCTTATGTATGTCCTCCATCTATCATATGACGTTCGTCCGTAGGCATGCTGGGCTATTCAATCGAACCTGCAACTGACCCATGTTGTGCGCTGCACTGTGACATGAATGGGATTTGAATTTTCCGCTGTGGTCTCGTTTTATCCCTCACCAACTGTCATGGTACACACCGTCAAGGAGGATTTCTGGTGAGAGTACCGAGATTCCTGTGCGCTGAACTCGGCAACCGAGGTGCTATTATGGGGGCAGCGAGGAGAAAATCCCTCGATATCAGAACAGTGTAAGAGCGTGTTGTGTGCGAGGACAGGCACGTGACCATGTAATGTATGACAGTGAGCAACGCCGCGTTCTTTATCTGTTCTGGGTCAATCGCACGCGTGAGCCCATCAATTTGTTGCGGAGAAAGTCTGATGCTGCACGCCAGCCCATGTTGAATGTGTGGTCCAGTGTCCTACTTATGGCAGATGACTTTGGCCCATCGTAAGTAGCCTACTTAATGATCTACTACGACGACGTCGTCGTCGACGACCGCAGGCCTAGCTGAGCAGCAGCCGCACCAGCAGCGGGCCAAGGATTCGGACCGGGCCTTGTGGTGATCGCTTCATCGTTGAACGACCACTCATATCCAACGCAGGAACAAATTGTTCCGAACCGTACCGCCATTTATTATTTGTTACATTATCACTTCCGATCCAGCGACCGATCCGGAGCAGGGAAGTGCAGGCAAGTCTAGAAGTAGAAAGCCTCGATACTTATCGGATCTGTTCGTTCAGTGGAACCCTAAGTGATCAGATTTGCCGACTGATTCCGCAGCAGCAGCAACGGACGTCGGTCCAGGGCTGCTGCCGCTGCCGTCGAATCGAGATGCCCGGTGACAGCAGCCCAAACGGGACCGAGCGGAGGCGAAGTAAATGATCAAGAGGTAAGAGCGAAACCGTCAAGATCGACAGAATATTTGTTTCGCTCATTCGCGGGCACAAGATGCGCGATATTAAATGGCGGTACGGTGCGTCCAGGTCAAAAGTTGACGGGACAGTCATCAGTACCATTACAAAGATATCTAACCACATTCGCATACGATATCTTTCCAGCGGTACTTCGAGCCGCTTTTATTTTAACGAGATTCCCCGAAGACGAGGAGGAGGAGGAGGAGAGAGAGAGACCAGCCCCGCCCCGCCCCGCTCGCTAAGCAGGTTTGAACAGGCCGTCAAACCCTAAACGAGAACCAAGCGGACAACGAACCTGCAGAGCGTTCTTGTCGCTCCACGACGACCGTAATCGGCCGTGATTCACATTGATAACCGCAAGGCCAAATCCTGTACTGTCTGAAGCATTGCAGCAGCGAGTGAGTCGTAGTTTCCCTTGGGCCGGGCTTGGAAGTCGGAGCCCATCGATCGTCGATCGGCGCCCGGGCCAATTAGAGAAAAGCGCGCGGTGTCAGAGGGCGGTGGATCCCACCGCGGGAACAAAGGACACTCGGAGTGTGCGGGTCGAACATCGAAAAGGAAGCTCGGTATCCGCTTTTGCTCGCTCGGGTCGCCCGCGACCATCAAGTCGAAGAATCGGGCCCGTTTCCCCTTCGAGAATGAGGACCGCGCCTCGCCATCAAGCCGCGACCCAAGGGGCACCACCGTCATCTGGCTGCAAAGCGGTCGAAAGTGATCCGCGCTTCATTGTCGAGCAGACGTAACCCCGTTCGCTCGCTCATATAAAAATACCAACTTTTGGAAGGAGAAATGCCCGCGAAAGCGGCTGGTGGCTGCAAAAATGCAGCAAAAGCCACAACTTGTGCGAATGTTGCAGTTACTTCGTGCTTCTTTTTGATCGAGATCGCTTCTTCCGTAGAACTCCTTCTCCTGCGGCCAGGCTTTTGCGGAAAGCGACGGTCTATCCATCGACTCTGCTTTCCGATCCATTCTGTCTTGCAGACAAACCTGAGCGCGATTGATGACAAAGTTTGTCCTCCTCCACCCTTCAGTCAATCTTCCCTCTCTTTCCATTCCAGATAGATTCAACCCCATACTAAAGATACACATGAATCTCCTCATCACGTGACATTCTAGCCCGAACCTCCTCACTCTTCGCCCTGCACCTCCCCGTTCTTACACCGCACCGCACTGACGTCTGCCCCCAGCATGCACCGCATATTTACCATGAACTGACACCGCGTGGCTTTTCATGAAGCTTTTTGTGTCAATGTGAGTGCCGAGCTTTGGGACTTTCAAGAACGCGAAGCAGTCCTAATGCCGCATGGAGTAACGGATTACTTTGCTGTATATTACGGCCATCGTCGCGTCATTATTGGGCAGTCCAACAGGGATCTCGATCACTATGCATCACGCCCACTGACCGAGATAGGAAATTTGTTTTTCACTGGAGCCAATGGAATGGGCTTATCGAGGGGAGAATTGGCTTCTGAATCCCTTGCGGTGTCCTCATGGCAAATGTTGACGCAATCATCCGACCTCGAAGGAACAATGATTTGCGTAAGACTTTTGTAAACTTGGGATTTGCCATGATTTTGGAGCCATCATTAGGGTTGTCAAATTAGTCCAAGGCTGGATCGTGGAGCCGTCTTCTCCGGCTTCTTGGTGTCAACTGTCAATGCACCTTCGACTTGGACTCATCTGTAGATTGCATGTCTGGATTGATGATTGGTGTTGGTCCTGTAGTCGAGCCACTTCTCGCACACATAACCCCAAAACACCATATCGAAAATCACATTTCGCCTTTTGTCTCGAGTGTAGTCCGACCTTTCTTCCTCATCTGTACTTATTATGATCAGATGTAGTGAAGCGCATGGAATACACTGCAAAAGGGATCGACAAATCACGCTTTGGTCATGGTAATTGAATGAAGCCGTGGCTGGATTTTGTGTTAGGGGGTGCCAGTTCTATCCTACGAAACCTTTCCGAGATGACAAAAAGGGAGAAAGACCAGTGAGACTTGTTAGTTGCCTGTATAACCCATTTCAGAGCATAGAAGGCAAAGAAGGCCCCTTTTGGGGGGCAGGAGCCATCAGTGAAATACCACTCTAGAAGAGCTAGAAATTAACCTCGTGTTAAAATTTACGGGCCGAGGGACATTCTTACTCTAGCCAGTAGGAGATAGGACAAGTGTTAGAAAAAAGGACTCGAATTTGGTGCTAGAAAAAGGGACTAGAATCATAAGAAGCTTTCTCAAGTTATACGAAAGAGTTTTACCAGGACGTGATTATAATCCTCTTCCAGAGCATGTGATAGCTCATTGTTTGCCTTTCAGGATTATAGATTGGCTGAGTATTGGTAGAGAAATACAAAAATCTAATATCTCGTCTTCAATCACAACCGCTCTTTGGCGGCGCAAATTTTCGTCTCATCTTGAAAGAGACAAATATGCGCGTTGGTGAGAAATCTGAAATAACTTACATGAGTCAACAAATCATGTACATGAGCAAACAAATCCTTTTCCATCAATTCTCCGTTCATGTCATCCCAAATGTACTAAGTCTTAGTCGAGATATTAGAGCATTTTCAAGCGCATAGTCTATATGAAGTACATAAAATTTAACAATAGTTTTAGAATAGTAAATGAAATGAATCCTTAATACAACGTTAATCTATCAGAATAAGAAATAGAATAAGTTGGATATTAACAAATTATCAATAAATACATTTGAAGAATAGAATTTAAAATAATTTAAGAGTATAAAATCAAGAAAAAAATTTTTGCTCAAAAAAAATATTTAAAATATCTGGATTTCTTTGCATGTGTACACATATAGCTACATATATATAAAATGACATATATTGTCATGTAACAATGCAAATCTATCAAGAAATAATACCTATTTTCTATAATGAATATTATAAAAATCAATTTTACTGTTTAAAAAAATCTTCTGTTCTTTATTTTAATTTATATATTAAATATAAAGTATAATTATTTTAAAATATCGAGATAAACTTTTTGAAGTTTGAATAGATCAAAAACCTTCGATTTGAATTGACCTTACCAATTTTAAAAGTTTTTTTCTAATTCTTCAAGTCTAAGAATTGTTTAAAAGAGTTAAAATTTCAAAAACATATTCATGTGGAATAATGTCCTAGTAATTCATCTTCTAAAATTTGTGAGGATTTGTTATCTACATCAAAAATTCGATTTTTCATTACTTTAATATATTGAAACATCCAAGTCCAGACTAAGGTTAGTTGAAAATAATAAGCTTTTGCCTAGAAAACAATGTCAAGATTTCATTTCAGAATCATTTGAGTAGGTTGAAAACATGTCATCTTACTACAAAATATAATTGATAGTTGAGCAAAATGATGTTGCTCTACGTCTAAGAACCGGCTAATGAACTGGCAGAGGATTTTGGTTGTAGAGCCAACATGTGCCGCAACCTTCATGGTGCAAGAATCTCGAAGGATTATGGGTCTGGAGATGGATTGATTTCGTTATGTACGCGACTCGAATGAGGAAAACCCATTATACTGGACCTCCTTGATGTCTGCAAATCATCCTACGGAGCGACTGTCGTGGTCACTCTAGTAATCGTGTGCAGATTTTGAGGTCAAGTCGAACCATTAAAGAAGGAGTACTTCACGTGAATCATCATACGTTTAAAAGTTTTGAGAGGACGACTTGAGACTCGAAGTTTATTGAGGTGATCGAAGAGAGTGAAAGTTTCAGGTACACAACTGGGACAAGAGTGGAGGAGAGAAAAATCAAAGTTGCAGAAGAAGCAGTCTCGATTGATTTCCCTACAAACAAAGTAACAAATTCATCAAGAGACACGGCGACCACGATAGCAGGATTTCCAGCTGAAGATTGAAGAGTTTTCAATTTGACTATAAAGGCTCTGCAAACGAGGAAACGAGAGTAAGCGAGGAAACAACAGTAGTATAAAACGGAAGAAAACGGCCTAGAATTTCATTCCTCGCGATTTTTGTAATTATTGAGCTCTGCCACGGCGTTTGTAGCAGCGAAGCCTATAGTCCCCTTCATTGGCTGCGATCGGTGCGTTCTGTGTGCTTGACTTCTTTGGTACAACTGGACGCATTGGGATCGACCAGGGAATGACTTACAATGACAAAGTCCCAAACCAAATTGCAAGAGCCTTGACCGTGAATGGACTCATGTCATTCCAGATTCTGACATCCGGAATGCTCTCATGAACCAGAGGCAAGACTTTATCAAACAGATGCCAATTTCCAAAAAAATTAGAGCGAAAACTGCGAACAAACGAAACAATTGCCGCGCGAAAGTCAGAGGCCGGGAAAAGCAAGAACATGGATCACCATGATGAAACGATGAGCGAAGACGGGCACCAGATCGCATCCGACTAAGGTGACATCGCCGCGGAAGAATTCGCTGAGAGGGCCGGGCTCGTAAGCCTGCAAAAAGTGCACTTTCTTCTTGGCATCACCATTTTCTTGAAAGGCTTGATTAAGCCGGGGTAAGCACACACCGCACAGGTGTCTTACATGGCTATTATAACATTGTCGATTGCATTTGAAGCGATCCTGTAAAGTGCCCATGCCACCTCTCCGACGATGACGCTGAATGGAAGAGCAGATCAATTAGGGGAACCTTTTATATTACGAGCGTGTAATGAAAACAAGGATACGATTTAAAGAACGAGAACAAGTATATATCTTACCAACGAACAGAGATGTTTAATAAAGAGCATAATTGAGTACCAGATATATGAATATTTCACTTGAATGTAATTGTATTAGAATAATTTCGATCTCATTTAGTTGTATATAACAGATTTTTTGAACCACTTTAACTGAAATGTTTTGACAATTGATGTGACAGTTGACAATTGATGTGATGGGACTTTTGTTTAGATCATTGTTGATTCTTTGTATATAGATTAATTGAGTAGATGATCGATATCATACTTTTCTTGAGGTATAAGTTAATTGATTTTCTTTTTTCAATGAGAAGTTTGTGTCAGTGACTGTTGCTGGTTTAATCATATAATTGAATTGAATTGAATTGAATAAAACTTGAATGGAAATTACCAACCATAGGAATGAAAATGAATTATTTTCTAGATAGAGATTGAATACTCTATCAATGCGAACAAAATACATCTGTTACGTGACAAGTAAAACACTTGATGTGATTGGGACATGAGAACAGAAGGAACAATGCTTGATGTAGGTATCTAAAGTAAGAGACGGGAGTCATGAGTAGTCTAAATATTAAAAAACCTATGCAAATAATTGAAGTCTATCAATCACACTCATCTCGAATAAGATGTTTGCAAACGGTAACTAAACTATCTATAAATCTGCTACATTCAGTTTTTGAATATAAAAATTATGGGCAAAAAATTTTATGAGCGCTACCAATTTATCAAATATTTAAAAAATTTAGATTTAAATTCTGACTAATTAAATGACGTGATAAACTAAAAACCTTGAGCATATTTTAATGCATCTTTCTCAAATATCTATTAAGTGTTCCACTTAACCTCTAAAAGTTAAAGAACTTGTCAAGACCTCAATACACACATTTCAACACATGAAGATCAAGTGAAATATTTTTCTATTTGTACTTTTGGATAATATAACAAACGCATTGATTCAAATCAATTTTAATTCAAATGTATTTTTTTGTTGATGATATTTTTTTTTTCAATCTTGCAAGGAAATACAAAATTTTATACATTTTATTGAAACTAATTTTTATAAATGCAATAACATGTGAATATTAATTCAACTCTCGGATTAAACTCTAGTTATTTTACCCCAAGTTAGAACTGAATTTAGAGTTGAATCTTTTAGGATAATTAGTAGGAAATAAGTTTTCATTCATATATATATATATATATATATGAGCATGATGTAGCTCACATTGAACACTTTGTAGGTTTACAATAAAGATCTTGTTGATTACAAGGTCAACAAAAATAATATAATGCAAGGTTTGATAAATTTATTAACTCATAAAAATTTCCATCAAATATAGATTATACATGTATAGATTTAAACTAATGAGACTTTAAAAAATGAAATCTTTTATGAAATATTACTATAATACTCTATAAAAATGTAATAGATTAATCCAGATGGTATATATGCTCATGTTTACAAAAAAACAATCCGATATTAAGAGATGCAAGTATCATCTACAATCCTCATATAAGATGAAAATTTGGATAAGTCTAATAGAAAATTGAAAATCTATGTCAATAGAATTTATTTTTCAAACTATGATTATAGGAAAATAATTACAATTGATGTGTGTTTGACAAGTTAAACATGATAGATCTCAAAGAAATATGGGCTCTCTTGTTACCACATTTTAAGTTTTATGCATTTAAATATCCAATTTATATGATTGATAAGAAAGATGTACTAAATTTACAATGACAAGAAAATAGATAATCTTATATATGCGATGATATACAATAAATCTAAAAATTGATCAAGCTATGGACAAGATAGGCATGTACATAAAAAATTGCATTAAAAAATTTTGAATTAGTATAATTATCCCAAAAACACCAAAAGATATGATTTTTTGTTTGATATTCTATTAGACAATGTCATTTGTAGTCATGTTATGATGATGATGAATATGGAAAAAACTAGACTAGAAAAATGTGATTTTGGTTATGTGATTATGCATGATAATTAATGCACTATCTGAATATAATAATGATATTATGTGATTATGCATAATAATGAATGCATGCACTATATGTGTATTTTTGTGATCACTAGATTTGAATGTTGGTTTTATTGGAACGTGCAAAAATTTATAAGTATCATTGTATTTGATACAAAACAAATTTTTCCTTCTGTATATTGAAATAAATCTTCTCAATATTTTGACATTAAGAAATTTTGGATTGAAGCATTTTCACTATATGATGATCTGTATGTATGTAGAATAAGTTATATTCAATCATACGACATACAGATCTTTCTTTGATTCTTTTTCTCTTTTTAATGTAGTATTTTTGTATGTTTTGAGTATCATATTTCAATTTTTCAAGTAATTAAAATATATGTGTGTGTTTGAAGGATTGTTCTGTACAAATTGAGAGCACATTGATATGTAGAATTCATTTGCACTATGAAATTAAATTCAAAATCTAGAATTTAACTGATGATTCACATACATAATGTTGAGGGAAAAAGTTATGAATGTGAATAATATATTAATATATAGATAGTTATTTTAACAATTTTCCAACACATTTACATTCTAACTTTTCTTAACCATTCTAATCATAAACATGATATTACTTAACCGTGAGTTTTGTTTTCTTTTTATATCTAGATAATAATTCTATCATGTATCATCTAGGGTTAAGAACCAAGTTTCTTGCGAGTAATTTTATTGGATAATTTGACTTATTGAACGTACTATGTCAGTTACTTTATATGACGGGAAAAGGTTGTATATGTTTCACGCACACACTATGAAAACATAACGTTATACAGGGTTAAATCATGCAACTAATTTTTATCCTCCGCTATTATACACAGCACAATATGCCGTTTTAGCTTGCACGTTATCTAACAATGATTTGATACATGTAGCGAAACATCAACCCTGTAATGACTCGTACTCCATTCGTCATGTCTCTTTCGATACATTTGGATGTAGATTTCCAATCTACATTCAATTTAGTTCCCTTCTAGTCTGATATCAAATATTTCTTTCGTCTCGATAAGTTGCGTTACTCAAAAGATGGAGATAAATGTGTTGGAGACTTGAAATTTCATCATTTGTTCAACATTCAATTCTAATTACCGTCTGCAAGATACTATGAAACTTTTGGACGAACTTTTGTACTTTCCTCCTCCAGGTTCCTTTTCATATTCTTTTAGCTACTGGTTTCTTCTATATGATTCAGATAATATACTATGATTAAGATAGTATAACGTTCTTAAACAAAATATTTAGAATACCTGGATTTATTTTCTTGTGTACATATATAGCTAGTGTCAGTACATATACATAACATGACATATTTTGTCATGTTATAGTGCAAATCTATCATGAAATAATATCTTTTTTCTATAAAACATTTCATAAAATTCAACTATAATTTTCAAAAAAAATTAATATATATTAAATAATAATATATCATACATTAATAATATCAATGTAAAATTTTTGAATTTTGAATATATTTAAAACCTTAGATATCAATGAACCTTTTCAAGTTTTACCTTTTTTAGCTGAAAACTCTAATTTTTTCTTCAAATTCTTCAATTTTATGTTCAAAGAGCTAATATTTTCAAAAACATATTCATAGTACACATGTGAAATCATATACTAGTATTTCGTTTTAAAGTTTGTGGTAATTTGTTATCTACATCAGAAATTTGAAATCTTCATCACTTTGATATAATAAAACATCCAAGTTGAGACTAAGATTAGTTGGAAAAAATAAGCTTCTGCCTATAAAACAATGGCAAAATTACATTTCAAAAATATTTTGAGTAGGTTGAACTACTCAATGTCATATTACTACAATATATATTTCATAATTGAGCAAGATGATCTTGCTGAACAACTTAAACCAACATTATTAGAACTTCCAAACAAAGATCGAAGAAATCAGATAACACACGAGATTTTTTAGCAAACAGAATATGGACATTCAAAACTTATTAAAGATTTTTATTATTATTTTTAATTTCTGATTAATTATGAAATTTTCAAATAATTCGATTTCCTCGGCTTGAAAACGATGACTGAAGATGTTTTTATGTCGAATTTGACTAATAAATTTATTTTTTTACAATTATAGCATCTGAGACTGTTAAGCATAAAAACATCTGTCCAAACCGGGACATTCTGTTATAAACTACCTCTAATTCTATTAACGTAATCTCTCTACAACACTAGGGTACACATCATCGAAATTATCCTTGAAGAACTTGACTCCAACTGCATTCAGCGTCTTGATATCATATATGTGAGCAAGTCTTAATCTAGTGCAGAGGTTCTCCTCGTTGATACCTTCGCAAAGCTCGCTCTCGCAAACTTCCTTCAACTCGCTGATGTCATATTTGTGGGCAAGCTTCATCACTTCCTCGACTGATGCCTCTTCAGTAAACAAAATTTCTGCAGTGTAACAGAAATTCACCATGGACCTCAGCACAGGAGCATCTGCGTCGTCGACTTGCACTGTTCCGATCTCCTTCTCCTTCATATCGATATCAAACATCTTCCCAAAGACAGTGGACTTGCCCGCCTTCATGAAACCACAAATCCCAGTCAGGACGACGTCGATAACACTCTGCGCTTGATAAAGAGATGTCGTATCGAAAACACGTGAAACAAACAATACAAAGGAAAAGCACGCTTTTCCGTCCCAGTCTTTAGGGATCAATAAGAACCGGCTGATGAATTGGCAGAGATTTTTGTTGTAGAGCCAACATGTGCCATGTGCCGCAACATTCACGCTGCAAGAAGTCTTGAAGGATTAAAGATTTGGAGATGGGTCGATTTCTATTTGTAAGCGACTCTAGTGAGAAAAACCCATTATACTGAACCTCCTCGATGTCTTCAAATCGTCCTACGGAGCAATTGTCGTGGTCAATCTAGTAATAGTGTGCAGATTTTGAGGTCAAGTCGAACATCTTAAGAGGGCAGTACTTCACTTGAATCATCATAAGCTAGAAATCTTTAAGAGGACGGCTTAAGACTTGAAGATTATTGAGGAGATCCAACACAATGAAAGTTTCAGGTACACAACTGGGACAAGTGTGGAGGAGAGAAAAATCAAAGTTGCAGAAGAAGCGGTCTGGATCGATTTCCCTACAAACATAATAACAGTTTCATTACGAGACATGGCGATCACGATAGCAGGATTTCCAGCTGAGGATTGAAGAAATTTCAATTTGACTGTAAAGGCTCTGCAAACGAGGAAACGAGATTAAGCGAGGAAACAACAGTTGTATAAAACGGAAGAGCACGGCCTAGAATTTGATTCCTCGAGATTTTTGTAATTATCGAGCTCTGCCACGGCGTCTGTAGCAGCGAAGCCTATAGTCCCCTTCATTGGCTGCGACCGGTGCGTTCTGTGTTCTCGACTTCTTTGATATAACTGGACGCTTTTGGATCGGCCAGGGAATGACTTACGATGACAAAATCCCAATCCAATTTTCAAGAGCCTTGACCGTGAATGGACTCGTGTAATTCCAGATTCAAACATCCGGAATGCTCTCACGAACCAGAGACGAAACTTTATCAAACAGATGTCAACTCCCAAAATTTGCGAGCGAAAACTACGAGCAAACGAAACAATTGCCTCACGAGAGTCAGAGGCCGGCGAAAGCAAGAGCAGTGATCACCATAATGAAACGATGAGCGAAGACGGGCACCAGATCGCATCCGACGAAGGTGACATCGCCGCGGAACAATGGGCTGAGAGGGCCGGGAGAGTAAGCCTGCAGAAAGCGCACTTTTTTCTGTGCGCTTTCTGCATACTTACTTCCTACAAAAGCTTCATTAAGTTGGGGTGTGCACACACCGCACAAGGGTGTTTCTTGAGAGTTTTTCGGAAGGCGAAGGTAAACACGACATTGGCGACTGCAGTTGAAGCCCCTCTCTATAAAGTCCATGGCACCTCTCCGACGATGACGCTGAATTCGCTGAGGGGGCCAGGCTCGTAAGCCTGCAGAAAGCGTACTCTCTTCTGGGCAGGATCACTTCCTTGAAGGGCTTGATCAAGCTGGGATGAGCACACACCGCAAATGTCAGAATTCCTAATATCGTATTCACCACATCGTCGACTGTAGTTCGAGCGCATCTCCATAAAGACAATGGCACCTCTCCGACGATGACGCTGCAAGAGCAAATCAATTAGGGGAACGTTTTATATTACGTTTTATTTTATTTTATTTTATTTTATATTAGAGTTTGTTCTTTCCTTGTTTCTTGGTAAACGTTTTCATGTTCAGTTGAGATTTAAGGTGTGCACGTTGAGAATTCTTCCCATTTTTCTCTTCTCTGCTATTTTCACTGTCTGGCGTATGTAAATAGTTTCTGCTTCATTGGTCGTAAATAGATTTTTGTACATAGAGGTTTGTAGAATATCATGAACTTCACTTTTTAACATCCACATACAAAGGGAAATTGTGTGTGCATTGACGGAATTCCATTGCGGTTTTACTCCAAAATATTCATCCTATGGTCGTAGAGAGTTTCCACTCTACAACCTACTAGTGGCACGTCTATTGAAAATGAGAGAAAGAGTACACATTGAACTTCGTATCTTTCAACAACCTCTAATTTCAGTAAGGCATACAGAAACCGTATTACCACTTACTTCACAACTATACACAAATGTGATCTACAGATGCTTAACTCAACCACCGATGATCGCATCCTAAACCTTGACGATGATCGGCCTCTAAGGATTTTCCTGGTTACATTACTATCTTGGCTGTACAGACTATTGTTTCATGTTTAGAATTTAGATACGTATTGGTTGCTGTACTCAGCCATGAACGCGTCGTTGGACTTTTTGAATGCAGACATCATTGCTGGCATTTCACTTTCGGATGGCAATATCGTTTCGAATGTGGAAAGACGTGGAAGTCGAGAATGAACGAAAAGTTAGAAGGACGATTGTCTTTTACTTCCACAAATATTCTTCGCGAAATATATATGAGAGATTGATTTCAACGTCTTGTCTTGTTCGAAATATTTATTCTAAAACTTAACATTGCCACGCAAAACAAAAATTAAGCAACGACTCTCACCCGTCTTTTTGACCGAAGCCTGATCCAGGTACAGTTGAAATTCCGGTAGCCTCCAGAAGCTTCAAGCAGTAATACGCATCTGGGGCCTTGCCTTCTTTCTTAGCAGCGGCAAAAGCTCCAGGTGGCAACATCACTCGAGGAAAGGAATACATCGCACCTGAAGATGATCTTCGACTTAAGTGATCATCATATAAAAATTCAGACCTAAAAGAAAAGTGATATTTACTTTTATCGTTGAGTGTTCTGAAACCAATGCCTAACACTCTGATGTGCAAGACCTTAACTGTTAGTTCATGAACTTCTTCCCTACAGTGAAGTTGCATACTATGTTCTTGCAGCTGTTGAATCCATCCGTCATAATATAAGCCCGCTTTCTCAGAGATTCCAATATTTCCTTGCTGCAAATTTGGTCTCATATTTTAGTACAGCGTAAGGTTTAAGCAGACATATTTAATTCTTGAAGTAAGATAACAACTGTAATCTGTGAAGCGGTACTAAACTCTCAGTGATATACTTTCGGTAAGAATAATCCACTCTTTTAGGCGGTTTAAACATCAAACCCGGCTGTAATCCAGATAATATCGACGTTGTCAAACAAACCGAATTTCGTTTGATGATTCACCTCAAGGGTTGAAGGAAGCAAGTCGTTAATAAGCTTGATCCTAATCTTGCGTCTCGAAAAGAGTATTGTGGTTAAGTGAGAACTTCATAATTATTTTGAAGCGGGTTAAGAGATTCAACAAATCAAATAAATTAATTTACTCACCATGATTTGACCGGTAATATTGGGACTAAGTGAAATAGATGCCACCTTACACAATTCCTCCACAATCTGGACAAAGAACAAATCAAGTTTCAACTTGTCGTACTGCATGCCCAAGGTACACGTTTTCCAAGAAGCAAAAGATGAATTTCGAGGTAGAGACACCGAATGGATGCTCGAAGATAGTTTCAGATAACGAAACGGAAAGAAGCCAATATTTACAATAATTTCACAGAGTACAGGCAACACATGGCATCGTATGGGACTGTTTTGTCTCACCAGCGGGTGAATGTTGGTCATTTCCAAATAAGCACCTCGTCGTCCACACTCCCCAAGGAAACCCTTCGAGACTGTATGGAAGGAGACGAGCTCCAACTCTCTGCTGATGATTCCGCCCATGCCCATTAGAACCTTACCAACATACAAACAGGTAATAAACAGGTAATAGAATTGTCCGTTAGACTACGTCGTTCGATTCCTCATAGTCGATCGTTGCTAGAAGCAAGCTGCTGTAAGCAAACGCGTGACAAATCAACGAAGTCGAGAAGTTTGGCGGAGGGAACCCTTTGAAAAGTGCGGTTAACATGGAAGGAAAGCCCGCAACTCATCGCCGTAATTCCTTACAAATACTCTTTACATTTTTGTAGTGTGTAGCCTTTCGGTTACATACTAGAATACTGGAATGGAAACTTTAATTCTACCTTCTTTGCACTGACGAAGGGAAGCTCGTCTTGATACACGTTGGTCTGGTAGACCTCATCGGCGAACAATACCAGTCTCTCTCTGTAGCCGAGCTCAATTAGCTCTCTCAGGTTTTGCTGAGTTAGACATTGACCGTTGGGTTTCCAGGGTTGATGAACACCAGTCTCGCACCTGCATTCAGAAACCAACAAATTTGCACCCGTCTCAGTTGAAGGGTCTAATCAGCCGGCGATAGTCAAACCAAGTACGAGATCAATGACTCATGATTGATATAGATATGAGATCAACATATAACTCGCATTGAAAACTTTGTAGGTTTACATAAAGGATATCATTGATCCGTAGACGTGGGTGTGACTATAAATCACTTATATTTTTATTGAAGCGTTCTGGTGAATTTTTCTGTATGTGATATTTATGGATTTCATCCATAACGTGTTACAATTGATATGAGATCGACGGCGTGGCAAGCATCTGATGAATACAATGAAAGAGAAGTAAACATCATATGAGCAAGTGATAGATAGACAGGCAGTAAATACTAACAGACATGGTCTCTTGCAACAATGGCGTGTGCAACATGCTTTGTATAGGAGATTTAGGTTAGAAGTTATAACTTTTTGCCATAAAATCTTTACGTTTTGTTAGATATGATGCTAACAAATAACATGCTTTGTCTCTAGCTACACCATTAGATTTCTTGCAAAAATCTGATGAAGTGCCGAAGTACGAACTAGAACTCGTCCAATATGCAAAGATAAGAAACCCTCAAAACTCTAACTTTGTACTTTTGAAAGACTAGAGTTATTACTAACAAATTATCACTTCATTCATGTGGTGGGATAATATCTTTCATAATCTAAATTATGAGTCTATAAAAAATTCTAGAAAGAAACCTAAGATAGACAACTCTTTAAACTAGAGCTAACTAGAATCAAATTGTAGCCAACACAATATAGAGTAAAATATACAGGGTTAATAAAAAATGTTGATTAAATCTACTTGTTTTCTATTATGTGAAATTTGTAAGAATCATAAACACGCAATAAGCAACAATAAATAGTTGACACAAAGATAGTAATGTGGTTCATCACAAAGAGCTATGTGCACAGGAAAGTGCGTGCGTGAGTGTATTGGATGTTCTGTTTTGTGTATTATCAAACTCTTGGTATATGTACCCAACACCGACGACTAACCTAGCTACAAATAGCTAGAGCTTGAAATTACTCCTTCACCGGAGTAAACCTCAACAATCTTCCCCTTAATTCGTATCAAAGATACAATAATCTCTATACCTATATTATTACTTTGCGATAGGTTCCAGACAGAAACCTAACACAAGGACTCTCTTTACACAAAAGTTAACTAAAACTAAAACGTGGTCATAACAAGATATGGTGATAACATAAAGAGTTAAATAAAACATGCTAGCACATAGGAAATTTAAATCTTGTAACTTATATAATTACTCTGGGGGAAGTTCTAGAAAGAAACCTTATACAAGGCACTTCTCTAGCTGTAATCATCAGAAGACTGATTCATAACATAAAGATATAACTAAAGATAGTAGCATGCAAACTCTACCTGTGCTCCCCATGCATACTCTGCATAGTAGCACAATATCGCTTGAAATTCTCCAATGAAATAACTTTGCTTAACGCATATAGTTGGATTGAGTCTAGCGTTAATCTTGACTAGTTCAATCATCAAAGTTTATTGTCAATATTGATTATTTCAATAATGTCTTTAGGAACTTCACTAGTATCAATGCTACTTCTTGATCATTAATCACATAATGATCAAACTTTCCCACAACAATATACGTGAGTGCAAAGTTTTCTTGTGAAGACGAAGAGGATGGAAATTTGTCACTCTTTCAATGATTTGATACTCATTGAATGAAACAAGAACCTTGCAGGCTACTAGTAATCATATTCTGTAATCCGTAAGCATCATACGTCGTCATTCAAAAAAAAAATTCCTCAGAATCGAAGTCCTACATCATTAATCAATGAAGCAAGAACAACATGTTTGATATTAACTCTAGTATTTCTTGATGTGTACACTCTTGCTACATCTCCAACAAATCAACGTACTCTTCTTAGACAACCTATCTCAAGATTGGTATCTTTTCTTCCATCCTAGATGGAATCTCTTTCTCTCATGAGGCATATATTGAGATCTTGCCGTCTAAGTTACTACCTTCTGCAAATTGAAATTCGCAAAGTTTGCAAAAGTAATGAAAACAACGTTTTTAATCTTTACATGCCAATTATTCTCAATGTGACCACTATTGTCACATTTCCAACAAGCAATTTTTTTACTCTCAAGGGACTTAGCCCTAGACTAGGTTTTCTTCCTTGCATGAATCGTCATACTAGATCGTTCAACATTACTCCAATCATCGCCAACCCTTGAACTTGACTACCCATGGATCACAGTCAACATTGTCTGAAAAGTAAACACGTTTGTTTTCGGATATTTTCTCCTTGTGAATTATCTATAACATCTAAAAAAACTTCCATATGCATTAGTCTCATCAAAATCTTTCTAATGATATCCAATTTGACTATATTCTGTTGAAGTTTATGTTGGACGATATATTTATGGATGAATATTCTTTTGGATGGAATATTTCTTGCGGACAAAAACTTACTAAAGGACACAATATTCAAACAAAAAATTTTGGCAGTTGTCCGTGTCAGCCCAACATTGACCTCGTGTGTGTGATTTCTGCTGCACAATCCTACTTGAGACTCTTCATGCCTAAGCGCAACGTGTTTTTGCTTGCCCGCGCTGCCCGATCTTATTCGGATTGTCCAACCTGCCTCATGATACTTTGTGTCAACCACATCTAACGTCCGCACCTAAGTGGCGTGATCCGCGTGTCGTCTACGCCACGTGGCGATATTCGATTCGTGTCACCGCTTGCCTTGGATCCATCAAGTTGATTGTCATGTGGCGACTACTCTTTGTTGCGCCGCCAACATGTATTGTTTGTGTTAACGTGTCAGCACCTCACGTGTCCACTTATCAGATCCTTGCGCGTTTGGAAGTTGGCATGGCACTATTGAAGATGATTGGATGTCTATGAGGATGTAACGTGAACAACAATGATGTGATGTGATGATCAAGAATGGTGACGCAACAAGAAGGTTTGAATAACCTGACGTCTGCGAGACATTGACATGTCGACCACAAACTTCAACAAATGTCGTCGCAAGGACAACCCGCACCGTGCGGTGTGCTTGTGCATGTGATCTGACATCTGCGTGACGTCTCATACTTGCTTGATATCATCATTGTCAACTGCGTTGTGTAGAAATTTGTCAAGAAATCTACAAAAATCTGGATAGAAATCTAAAGATTCAAAAAATGCAATTGTAGAAAGTCAACAGGAAACAGTCGAATCTTACGAAGGAAATTTTTTGATATTGTAGATATGCCACACACATCTTTGTCCGCGTCTCTTGCACTCGTTAGGGAACGTCTGGATCTGCGTGTTCGCCAACGAATTGATCTCTTGCTAAAGAGCAGAATTTTTTGAATCAATTGCTAAAGAGCAAAATTTTTTGAATCAATTGTTTTCTACTTTGACGTGCGTTCCGCTTCTTTGTTGCGTCATTGCACGCAACAAAACCTACGCGTAAGCGTATTCTGATTTTGTGTTTCTCGATGTCATCTCGCACACATACAAATTGCGTTGCCTGTGCATTCTTGATAAATATGAAAAAAAATTTACAAACAGTGGATTTTCTGCACTTGATGTAAAATTTTGCCCAAGTCTTAATTTATGTTTCGCACGTCTGCACTTTTGCAATCCTCTTGCGATACTCTTTGACATGCTTGAATCTCGCCAATTCGCCTGTGGTTGTTATCGGACTGGTAACGAGTACTACATGCCAATTGTAACCATCTTTAGTTAGTTAGAACTAAAGTAGAGGTTACTCTGAATATTGAGGTAGATACTTTAGTGTGCACTAGTCATAGCTGCCACGTCAGCGATCCGCGCACTTGGTAGGTACAGAGTGGATGTGTTAGTTGACAGTGCCACGTCAGCAATCCGTGTGCTTGTAGCTAAGGATTGAGTGTGTTAGTTAGTGTGTTAGTTGGGTGCGCCACGTCAGCGATCCGTGTGCTTGTTAGGGTTATCCGCCACGTCATCCATCCACTAGGAGTGGTATGGATGGTGGGGATTAGATCTTATCACCTTGTACTTGTTGGTGAGAGCTATATAAGGGAGAGGAGAACCATTGTTGGTATCTCTCATCTTCAGAGTTTACGTTTCTATCTTCGAGTGAACTTCTCTCTAAACCCTAGTGTTACAATGGTATCAGAGCGACCTTGCTCTTTCCTTGAGTGTGGATTACCCCTCATGGAATAGCAAGTGAGTGATGATGGAGTGTAGTCTTGAGAGTGTATAGAGGCTGGCAGAGGTCATTCATCTGCATGTAGAGAGAGGTGGAAGGGGGACATTGTGTTTTTGCAGATATGGACGGGATTGACAGGAATCCAGTACCGCACTGGCCAATTCCTAACCTATTCGATATTCACCTTCGTTGCATGGAGAAACATCATTTTCGGATGTACCTTGTGGCTTGTTGGGGTGCAGATTTTATGACTAGAGTGATGGAGTCAAGAGTGCCACTGATTCTTCCAATAGTTACTTATGGAGAGACTTGGGATTGTACTATATACATTCTATACTGATTGTTTCATGGATTTGAATCGCGAACCACCTGTCCCGGTTCGATTCAGCACTTATGTAGAGATTAGAACAGTATATAGACAGAAGAGGATATGGAGAGATTTTCTTGTGAGGAATTATGGAGATGAGTACTATAGAGCTGTGATAGAGTCACCTGCACCTTTTGTGACTCCTTTGTTGAGAGGTCACATAGTGATTATACTCACTTTGTATTAGAGGGAGTGTGAAAAAGCATGGGAACATCAATTGATATGGGTGAGGTTCTCAATGCAATCATGGCAGAGATGAAGGAGTTGAGAAAAGCGATAGTAGATGGGCATACCAAGCAGCAAGCCATGGAAGATAAAATCTTTGCATTAGAGAGTGAGAAAGTAGAGAGAGAGAGTTGGAGAGATGGAAGTTGAACCTCAAGTTCAAGCTTCCCAAGTTCAGCCAGAACCAACTCCTATTGATGCAGCAGAGGCAAATAGGAGACGTCTTCAAGAGATTGAAGATCAAGCAAATCTTTTGCTTCGAATGGGAAAATCCTGTA